GGCAGGCTCAGGGTGGATCTCAGCAAAAGGTTCTTCCCCCAGAGGGTGGTTGGCACTGAACAGGCTCCCCAGGGCAGTGGGCACAGCCCCAAGGCTGCCAGAGCTGCAGGAGGGTTTGGATGATCCTCTGGGGCACAGGGGGGGACTCTTGGGGATGGGGCTGTGCAGGGCCAGGGGTTGGACTGGATGGTCCTTGTGGGGATCAGCACAGCACATCCTGTGATTCTGTGGAATCCCACCCACCACAATAACTCCAGGAGCTGTCAAGGAGCTGCCCTGGGGTGGTCCCTGGGCTGTTCCCTCATACCTGGCCGGCACAGGTCCCCGTGCTGCTCCTTCTCACTGGCGTAGACCTCCATGCACCAGGCGTGGTAGGCGAAGGAGAACAGGTCCTCGATCTTGGCCGGGGGGCGGATGGCATTGTTGAGCCGTTTCAGCCACTCCTGACACTGCTCAAACGTGGAGAACTGACACCTGCCCCACACACAAACACACCCCTGGTGAGTCTGCAGGGACAGATGGCAGACTGGAAATGACAGGTAAGCACGCAAAGCTCTGTGACAGCAGGGAGCGAGAATAAATATCTTAGGGACAACTTAGTTCTGCTTCCACGGACATTCCAAGGGACATTAAAAAGGAAACCTGTGGACATCAGTGAAGGAACACACTTAGGGAGTCAGGATTTACAGTGAGCAACGTCCTGTGCTGTGAACAACCAGGATTGTGCCCTGCCAGGAATGAGGGGGATGTTTATGCACGTGTCAACCAACCAGCCAAGGAGCAGATCACTGAGGTCAGAGACAGGAATGTGTTACAGAGACTTCTGATTGCTGGAGTCAGGAGCAAACTCAGAAAACTACCACATACATTATAATCTATATATTGTAACTGTAGTCATAGTCCTGTGAGCAAGAACAGGTTGGGACAGCTGGGGGGCTCACCTGGAGAAGAGAAGGCTCCAGGGAGACCTGAGAGCCCCTTGCAGGGCCTAAAGGGGCTCCAGGAGAGCTGGAGAGGGACTGGGGACAAGGCATGGAGGGACAGGACACAGGGAATGGCTTCCCACTGCCAGAGGGCAGGGATGGGTGGGATATTGGGAAGGAATTGTTGGCTGTGAGGGTGGGCAGGCCCTGGCACAGCTTGCCCAGAGAAGCTGTGGCTGCCCCTGGATCCGTGGAAGTGTCCAAGGCCAGGTTGGACGGGGCTTGGAGCAACCTGGGCTAGTGGGAGGTGTCCCTGCCCATGGCAGGGGGTGGCACTGCATGGGCATTAAGGTCCTTTTCAAAGCCTTCTCCTTCTGGCCTTGGTGGGAAGCACAAACCGTCTACTTTAAACTGAGCTTTGCCCAACATTACACACCAACGACAACTGGGGAGAAATTCCCTGCCCAGGAGAAACTGATCTTCAAAGCAGAGCAGCAAAATTGCATGAGCTTGTCTTTCCAAAGGGGATTCCTGCACCCTTTTATTGTAGAGGGAAGGATTATAGCAGTGCTTTGTTTTGCTCTGACAGATTTTCTCCCCATTTCACAGTTACCAAATGTCCCCTGAGTGTTTCCACGGCTCCCTGCAGTGCTCCTGGGTAAGGATGGCACCTGCATTCCCTGGGGGAACATTTATTGCCCCCACCTGCAGAGAGCTCAGAGCCAGGCAGTGGGAGGAACAGACCCGTCCAACACCTCTCAAGAGCTGTGAGGAACTGCAGCCTGAGGTGTTTATTTATTTCCCATCACTGAGTATAAAGCAAGTCCAGACTCCTTGCTTGGACTGGAGAATTCTCTGTTAAATATCCATAGTCAGACAAGATACATCTCACCCTAAATTCTCTAAATTCCTTTGAAGTTAGAGGTGCAAATAATTGGTGCTATCTTCACTTGAACTCTGCTACTCAAAATACAAGCTTTGCTCATGAGAAAGAACATGAACAGGTTCGAAATCTGCTGTCTCAGCCCCACACTTCACCATCTCCCAACAGTCCCACCAAGTCCTCAGTCCTGGAGATGCAATTTTGAAGGGAAACTCATAAGAAAGGGCATAAATACAAATAATTTGTAGTCGTTCTACTACTGAAGAGAAAAAAACAAATTAATGTAGAGAGGAAAGGCGACTTTCTTAAATGTCAAGAGCTACAAGTGAAGAGGAAGTTAAATATTGAATTCAAATTAAACTAAATATTACTTCTAAACTAAAATCAGTCCTGGTGGAAAAAAAAAAAAAAAAAGGGCATTTCAGGAAGCAGCTGACCTGTTAAAGATTCTGAGTGCTCAGAGATGACTGGGGCTCATTTCATTATACAAAAGGTACTGCCAGCAAACATTTAATCAAAAAGAAATGTTCCTTTCTTCTTAATTAAAGTTCATAGATCAAAATTAATTTCTGCAGCAGAGGAGTAAAAAAAAATAAAATAAAATAAAATAGCTGTAGTTGAGGCTTGGTGGCTCAGAGAGTCCTGGCTCAGGCTCTGGAAGCTGCTCCTCTCCAGGATCCCTCTGCTTTGCTGGGTACAGACCTGGATTTCCTTATTCCCTCACTTTCTTCAACCTTATTCTCTCCCTTTTTTTCCCAGTAGGTTACTCTGCCTTTAGGGCAGTGACTGCGCCCTCACAGGTGTTGAAAACGTTGGAAAAGGCCACTTTTTAACCCTACAAGCCCCAAATCCCCACTAAGCACTTCCCCGAGTGTTGGGTGTGTCA